GTAAGGGAAAATACCCCCAGAAAAGGGGGAAAATAAAAAAAGTAAGCTGAGCGAGGTGGAACAAAGAAAGGTCAGCTAGTTCAACCTTTAAACCAGCTGTTGCAAAATTTATATCTGAGTTAAGTTTCCTGCTTTTCCTAAAAGCCTGGCCTTAAGGGGATACAGCTTGCAATCACCCTTGCTGGGTCTGTAAGTACTCTGAAGGAATAATGGCCACAGAGGATGCTGTGTGCAAGGTCTAGCAAGAAACATTAACTAGGCTCTCTCCTGCCCAGTCAACAGCCAAAGCAAACACCGGTTGTGGAGATTTGTATTTGACCAGGGCAGAAATCAGAGAAACAGCTTAAGCCCTGAAATATGGGTAGGAGGGCTTATATCCCTTATCACAGAGAAAGACACCTCTGTGGTGGTGACGAGAGGAAAATTCCCCTTTCCCACTGATTCATCAGAGGAGACTGACACCAGTGGTAGTGTTTTACTCTGTAGTGCATTAGCAGGGATTAACACCCCGCTAGGAATCTGTGTGTGTGACCAAAGACAGAGGCTGCCCCCACACAAGGCTCATGTTGCAGATTTCTCAAAACTACTCAGACCCTTACTGTTAATGATTATAGAAACAACAGAAGCTGATATGCTTACTCAGAGAAACTACTGACATCTTTGTTCCATTCTTCAGCTTACCCTCTGGGCTAAAGAGCAAACAGCCTTCAATAAAGGCTAAGTGGAACAATACCTGGGGTCACTCGCCAGAACCCCACAGTGGTCTCTGTGTACCTACCTTTGAAAATTCTATTCTGTGTGTCTTGTCCCTTTGTCCCCCTTTCTTTCTAATGTTACATTTCTTCAGTCTGTCACCAGCTCTACAGGTCTTAAAGGATGCTGCCCCCAAGACAGGACCCCCATAACTTCCTGGCTTTCTAACTTTAACCCATACCAGCTTGTTTCTTCATCTGTTGAAGGCAATTTTGATACTCACTTTTCAGGTTCCTTGGTAAATAAATGTTGCAGATCCTCCATAAGTGAAAATCATGGCCTCACAGCCTAGGTTGGCGTCAAGGAGAATATTATCTTTACTGGATCACTTCATTCCATTTTATTTTGCAGGGGAATTTAAAGCTTCAAATTGTTAGGAAATGTGTGGAGGTGACCTAGTCATTAATTGATGGGGATGAGGCACCCAGATGTTTTTTTTTTTTCTACAGAAGAATAACACCATGATGGAAAATAACTTTCACTGAACTCAGTGAACCTTACCAAAGAAACACCTTACCTAATAAATTAGCTCTGAATGTTATAAACTAAGTCCATAACAAACCATAGCTCTATATACAAATAATCCTTTTAATAAGACATGGTGATGTTGTGAGAGTGTTAAGGTAGGGAGACATGAAGCTTTGAATTCAAATACAAACTCCAGTCTGAGCCTTCATTTTGCCTTCTGTAAAATGGACATTATTAACTTCCTTCCTCCCTGAGATTAAATGGGATAAGAGAATAACAATTAAATAGTATACAAGGCTTAATACAGGTTTTTATCACATTCATTATACTCAATAAATATTAAGTATCTTACCTCACCGCTTGCCTTCTTACTCTTGAGAAAGTTAAATGCCAACCTCCTTAAGTAGAGCTTAAGTTTCTACTAGGGAAAATATTTTTTCTCTCTCTGTTTTTGGTTGGACTTTGGTGGATGACAGTGAACAGTTGTATCAGCTAGTTTTCAATGTGTAACAAAGCACCTCCAGATTTTGTACTTTAAGCAACAATCAGGCCACGGGGCATATCACTCCAGGAGGCCCAGGCTGGGTGATTGCTGGAGCTCAGGAGTTCCAGACTAGCCTGAGCAAGGGAGAGACCTCATCTCTACTTAAAATAGAAAAAAGAAAAAAAAAAGAAGACTAGATGGGCATTGTGGTGGGCACCTACAGTCCCAGCTACTCAGGAGGCTAAGATGATTGCTTGATACCAGGAGATTGAGGTTGCTGTAAGCCATGATGACACCATGGCACTCTACCCAGGGCGACAGAGTGAGACTCTTCTCTCAAAAAAGAAAAAATTGATCAATAAATAAACAGCAATCAATTATTTTCACAATTCTGCAGGTCAACAACTCCCGGTAGGCTCTCATCTGAGTAGTATTTTGGTGCATTTGGATGGGCTTATTTATGCATCTGTGGCTTGTGTCCAGTTAGCTAAGAGGTTCTGCTGAGGGCTCAAAGTTTAGGATGGACTCACCCATATGTTGGACTTCACTGCTGTAGTGAAGGTGATGAATGGGCCATGGGTCTATCATCATCCCGCTACTCTGGGCTTCTTCACAATGCTGTCAAAGTGATTCAACAATGAAAACAGAGGGGAAACTCCAACATGCAAGCATTTTTCAATTTTCTGCTGGCTTCACATTTGCTATTGTCCCAGTAAACAAAGCAATGAACATAGCCAAGCCCAGCAACAATATGGTATGAGATACAGGCTTGCATGGACAAACCACAGCTACTCTAACAGACTACTATTGCACTGATTCATGAGTGTCAGTGTTCATCATTAGAGAAATACTTATATATGGATAAACCACACAGGGAAATGCCATTCTCTTAGAAATGATATTTCACATTTCTTTAAAAATGTCATAGCTATTCTTGCCCTTTGACCATAAAAGATGTATAATAACATCACATTACAAGTACTGGGAAAATACCCAATTTGAAAATATTTTGGTATGAAACCAGAAAGTGGTGCATCTCCTTATTCAGAAATAGACTGACTTTGCCCATAAGGGTTCAAGTCATACTTCTTTCCTTAATGTCATGTTTGTATTTCTCTTCCTAGAAATAAATATATCCCCAGCAGAGGCATATTGCATAGGCACGGTGTGATGTGGAAGTGACAATATAGCCTAGAAAATGATACCTCTTGTGAGACAAAGAGATAGATAGTACCCAACACTTGGGAAGTAAACTTGCCATGTGGCTGGGCCCATTTGGACCACTCTTCGCCCCTGACACCAGCCAAATCTTCAAGCTTTCTAGAGTGCCTGTTGATTGATTTGAATCATCTTTCAAAGCTCCGAGTAGCTGTTTTACCATTTTCTACTACTAAATCCTAATCCTGTTTTCAGATCCCTTTCTATTTTATTTTGTTGTACTTCATATTCCTAAGTGGAATGTCATGATTTCCTCATTTTATATTCTACATGTTATTGCTGCTGTGCATGAAGGCTATTGATATTTTAAATAATATTTCATATTTCCATTTCCAGGGATTAATTTTTACATTTTTCAGGAGGTGGTTTCCAAGAATATATTCCTATCATGTACAAATAATGACTCTGTCTTTTTACCACTATAGTAGACATTTGTTCTCTTTATAATTCCATTACACCAGAAATAATTTCTAAGACACTATGTTATAATATTGGTGATAATAGGTATATTTGTCTTGCTCTTGGGCATCATGGAATTTTTTGTAGTTGTTTAGCATCATTTATGGGCATGCTGAAGAATATTAGGAATTGTGAGTGAAAATGGGATTGAAAAGATCCTGGGAAAATGAGTGAAACTATTTAAAAATTGGACCGTATATTTTGCAACCATTTTCCATTTACCTTTCAGAATCCATTTCCCATGCTGAAGGGATTATTTCATTATTTCGATGAAAAAGTAGGTTTTTATGATGCCCCTTTGCTGATGGCAAGAGACTGTCAGTAAGAGAGAAACAAAGATGCTTAAGTTTCAATAGGATAAAAGGTCAGGGACATCAGAGGTCTTCTCTATAAGGCTACTGCTATTGGATGAGGGGAAGACTAAGAACTAAAAGGGAGAGGGAAGGCTCAAGGTTTTTACATTTTTGAATATAGGATGTCATTTCTTCGCCAAGAGGACCGAGAGAGGTGAGACAACACCAAGTCCTAGCCCATGAGTTCCAAAAATATAAATGTCAAATATGAAGGGATTTCCATGAACGTGTCTGACCAAACCCCAAGTGGTGCTTACAGATGAAAAAGATAGATAAGGGTGAGGGCTGTGTGTGTGGGGAGCCTTGGGATTCAATACAGGACTAGTTGGGGCAGTTTTCCAGCCATTAGGTGCATATGAATCAAAGAGCAAATGACTAAAACAAGTGAAGAGTTTACAGATGAGGAAACTGAGGAACAGAGAGGATAGGTGAGATGTAAATAAGGGTTTAAGAAAAGTGTTCAATTACAGGCTGGCTCAAGCTGCTCGGCAAAGTGGAGAACCTGTTGAAGAAATAACACCTTATTTGGGCGGCGCCTGTGGCTCAAAGGGGTAGGGCGCAGGCCCCATACGCCAGAGGTGGAGGGTTCAAACCTAGCCCTGGCCGAAAAGAAAAAGAAATAACACCGTATTATGTGACTCAGCAAAGATTAGGTACTGTGCTGTCAGGAATCCGTTGGTCATTTTGGCACCACGGAGGGCTCCGTATGATTTAGCCAGTGGTGTTTCATCATGGGGGATGATGATGTCCTTGACCCTGCTGTGTGTAAAAGGACTGCGTGTGTGTTTCATGCGAGACGGTGGGCAGGGGGAGGAGAAACATCCGGCAGCGCCACAGCCGCGTTTGGCTGAAAGGCACACGTGGAGACAGTCTTGGCCAAAGTCCAGATGCGGTGAATTTCACTCAGGGAAGGAGGGTCCCAGCCCGAGAGGTGCGGAGCGCCTGCGCACTGGGCCCGAGGCGTCGCGCGCTGCGGGAGCCGGGAGACCCCCGCCTCCGCCCCTCCCCCTTCCCCCTGAACGCGCCAGTGTATGCGCCTCACCTCGCTCAACCCCTGCCTACCGGCCAAGGGAGCTAGAGAGACGGGTCCCGGAAACGCGGGTGGGCTCCGTGGAGACTGGCGTGCTGGCAGACTCCCAGGCTCCTGGCGGCGGCGCCTC